GGTAAAATCTCACATGGAAATTGATTATATATGACATATTTATTTGGTAGTAAATGATAAAATTGACTAAAATAAATGGGTTACAATAATTAAAAAAACCCCAATAAATGATTTATGAGGTTTATTAAATTATAGACTACAAACATAAACGACATTTCTAATTTATAATTTGGATTTTGTTTAGCTTGAAATTAATATATTTGATTTATTAATTTAAATAATAGAATGTGGTGAATAATTAAAAGGAAAAAGAAAAGGGTTCATATTGACAATTAATTTTATTTTATAGAAATTAGATATAATTAAAAGATTTGTCAAGTCCCACACGTAACGCCGTTGTGTTATAAAAATAATTTCACTAAATAAAATACTTAGATGGTTAAGGTGTGATTCAAGTACATTTGACTTATTTTATTATGCATGTTACACGCATTAATTAGTTCAATATTTAATTAAGTATAAATTTTGTTGCAAATTAAATATTAATTAAGTAGGATTTGGATTGCAATTAAATAATTCATAGTAGACTAACTATATTTTGACTTACTGTTGTACAGTTTGGAGACATGGTACTTTATGGCTCTGATATTGTTTGCGGGATATTTAAAGAATGCAGAAGTTTCCATCAATGCCCTTTCTATATGGTACGTATTATGGGTTAATTATTGGTTAATAATCGAGTAATCAATCAATCTTATTGCATGACAAAATAAAAAAGAAATAATATCAACCATTTTTCTGTCATTATATATAGAAAACTTACACTATTTTATATATATATATATATAATAACGGATTAAATTAATAAAAATATGATTAAATTTGGTAATTTTTTTAATATTTAAAAATTTAAAAATACATTTACTGCTAATTATATAAATATTCCAAGTGGTCTGTATTTGTGCTTTGGCCGTTTCTCAAAAGCAATTCGGTCGAAGGAACCTTTAATTTTTTAATCAACCATATAATAAAATTTTATTTAAGAATAAAATTGAAACATAAAATAAATCAAACACTATCTTAATTGTACGTGTATTTAGATTATTTTACTTAATTTTGTGTTTAATTTGGTGTAGCACGAACATCTTGGGATGGACGATGATGGTGGCTTTTGGAATAAATGCAGCCATAAGGTACAAATGAATTGAAGCTACAAATCTTCGTAAATTTTTTAATTAACTAATTATTCATAGTTTAGCGGGCATAAAATATGTATGATTAAAATGTGTGTAGCGTTCGAGTGTCGAATGAATTGGGAGCAGGACATCCGAGAACAGCAAGATTTTCGTTGATAGTGGCAGTAATATCGTCGTTTGTTCTTGGTCTCATTATGGCTGCTGTTTTGATCATCACAAAGAACAATTATCCATTCATATTTTCGAGCGATTCAGCTGTGAGACAAATGGTGAAGGACCTGACGCTTTGGCTTGGTTTCTGCATTGTGGTCAACAATGTGCAGCCGGTTCTATCCGGTTTGGCTTCTATTTTTGTTCTTGAGCCGGTTTAGAATGATTTTTTTTCAAACCGCTCATTATCTCCATTTTTAAGTAATTGATTTGAATTAGTATGTGTTTGTGATGGAAATTAAGTGCAGGAGTGGCCGTTGGAGCTGGGTGGCAAGCTGCTGTGGCTTACGTGAATGTGGGCTGTTATTATGTGTTTGGGGTTCCTTTGGGCCTGCTAATGGGCTTCGTGCTCGATTGGGGTGTTACAGTAAGTCCCTATACTTTTATGCCTCCATTTTGGAATAATTTCTCTTATTAAATCTCCTTCGTTATAGTTTTTAAAATATGAACAAAATATGATGTGTTGCAGGGAATATGGTCTGGGATGATTGGCGGAACCATAATACAGACTTGCATTTTAATATGGATGGTTCACAGAACAAACTGGGACACAGAGGTGAGTTTGTGTAATTATTTACCAATTTTTGTTTTAGAACCATAACCAAAATTGGAACTTGAACATGCAGGCATCTGTTGCAGAGGATAGAATAAGAAAATGGGGAGGATCCTCTATTTCCTCATAGAATCACTTCTAAAGGCACACGAACCTTTGTGGATGTGAGTGAGATTCGAACATATAACCTATTCTTCGGCACATAATTCAAGTGCCAACAACAATTAATGTTGTTTTCCCATAGATATGTTGTTTGGGTCCAAATTAATTAATTACCAATTTTGTTTGCCTTTTGGCCATTCTTTACACCATTTTTATGCTCAATCGTCACCCAATTAGCCTCTAAACAAATGTTGTTTGCACTATTTTGCTAAACTTAGTAAAATTTATCGCATTGAGTGCTTTTTGCATCATACTCCACAACTCAATTTAGGCACTAGACCCCTTGATGTAAAATACTAATTTGGTTACTAAATTAAATTAATAATACATTTGTCCTAAATTAAAATGTTATATATTTGTCCTAATGGTTTAGAGACTTTCATATACTTGTTAGTCACATAAAAACTAATTGCAACTTATTAGACCATAGGAATATTGGATGATGAAAGTCCCACATCAGCTAATCTAGAGATCATGAGTTTATAAACAAAGAATACAATCTTCATTGGTAGGAAAGTCCAAAGCAAAGCCATGAGAGCTTATGCTCAAAGTGGACAATATCATACCATTATAGAGAGTCGTATTCGTCTAACAAGGAACCCATCATGTTCATCCATCTTTTAATGCTTATTTGACCTTTCTTCATGTTCCCAGATTAAAATCTCTAGATCAGCCCTTATGCCTCAGTCTAGAGAAAGAAGTCAAATTGAAACAGAGCAGCAAATTGCAAATTGAAACTATGAACAGCAATGGAAATCAACACAGACTACAATAACCAAAATACATTTTCCTCTTTAAAATGGGTATTCTAAATTTATACCTATTTAATTAATCTAGAAAATAACTATCTTTTCCTTGCTACCCCCACAATTATCTCTCACAAATGCGGTAGAAATTCCTATTGTCAAAAAAAGAGCAAAAGTGAATCCCAGCAAGAAGAACATCAAATTATGATCATTCACATTATATGGTGACACTAATACATAAAAATTTAATATAATTTCCAATCTAGTTATAAACATCATACATAGGAAATCCTACCCAATATTAAGGGAAAAGTTCAGATCAAAATAATCTTTTTAAAAAGTCCGAGTACTCTGTTGTTTCGCCTGACCAGACAATTCAGAAGAATCAATCAAAACAACGTTCAAGGAAAGGCTTCTTATTGTCCTACGTTTAATAGTTCAATCAACCATATATTCCTATCGCATAGTCTAAGATTCAATCATGGAAAGGCTTGAACATTGCATCAGATAATCGTATGTGAACCCATAAACGCTTAAATTATATCAAAAAGGTCTCCAGTAAGTTCAAACAGACAAAAATGAAAATTCACCAAGAACAAAAATCCCTATAACGAAGAGAAACTCAAACCTAAGCTGTAAGAACCACCGCGCCACCGGCCTCCTTAATCTTCTTCTCGGCGATCTTGGATACAAGCTTGGCCTTCACCACAATAGGCTGATTCTCCGGCAACACACCCTTGCCCAAAACCTTAAAATAACCGAACTGCGTGACATCGACCAATGGAACGTTGTCTTTGGAGGCCTTATCCTTCACTTCTTGAGGGATCAAGGACCAGATCTTGTCAACGTTGACAATCGGGCAATAGAACTTGTTGCGAAGCTTGTGGAAGTAACGCATACCGACTTTACCGAAATAACCAGGGTGATACTTATCGAAGAGAATACGATGGTGGTGCATACCTCCGGCGTTTCCCCGACCTCCAGGATGCTTTCGGTGCTTGCCGATTCTACCGTGACCGGCGCTCACATGTCCTCTCTTCTTCCTGTTCTTCTTGAATCGAGTCGTCATGGCTGATCTCTCTCTCCCTAGGGTTTCGGCTGCTCGGAGGAGATGAAATGACGGTAGGGCTTGGAGGATTTTATGAGTGGAGAAGAGTGTATTGCTCTGTCTTGGAATTGGGCCTCCAGGAACTGATAGGAAAGAATGAGATTCAGGAGTCAGACGCCTTCTATTAGTGTTGAGTCCAATATGTTTTGTGATGGTCCAATTGTTGGACCCAGGCCCAAACGGGCATGTGTTTATTTTATTTTTTATTTTTTTATTTTAAAATTGAAAGGGAAGCTACTCACTAAAATATTTCATATTACAAATGTCAAATATACTTATTTTTTTAATAATTAGTATAACCTTATTTTTTTAATTAGTTACAAAAAATTGATGTGTTCGACCCGCTTACGATTTAAATGATTTATTGAAAAAAGATGAACAATTTTAAAAAATCAAATGTTTATCAAACGGGTCTTAATTATTTTAATTTTCTTTTGAAAACTTCAACGAGCCTTGATTCCAGTTAAAGATTGACGAACGAATCCACGATAATTAAATATTTCCCTTTTGTTTGAATCCGTCACTCAAACACATCTCTATTAAGAGTGAAATCTTTATTCCATCTACAAAATTGTCTTAATTAATTATTATTTCGTGGATGGTCATTCACAAGGAGCTTCTACTAAAGGATGACTTGTATTCAAGATTTACTAGAAGATAAGGCTTTGGAGTGGCACGAGGCTCCACCTAGATTATGTTGGGACAATTTTTTAGGCTCAATATAATTGTTCTGCATTGATTAGTTTTTCAACCCAAACCACCTTTTAAATAATTTTAATGGTGGATTGAATTAGTTCAGGTTATTTATTAAATTTTTGTAATAAAAAGTAAAATATTTACTAGTAAAACATATATTTACATACTTTCAATCATTTGATTAAAACTTACCATTTAATTTAAAAATATATCTTAAAAATTACTTTTTAAATAATAAAAAATAAAATAATAAAATAAAAAGTTTATATATATATATATATAATTGTATATAAACAAACTCACCAAACTGTTACGGGCTTTAGGCCCAGTTTTGGAAGAAAAGAGTCGAAGTCATGTTGTACTTTAAACCCCCACTACCGACCGAAGGGAATCCCATTTCTAACGGCGAACGGTGACAACCAGATGCAATTCACTGGGCCTCTCGGGCTGCCCCTTCTCTTCCTCAGAAAATTCCCTTTCCCCGCAGGGCGTAGTTGCAATGTTGGAGCTCGAAGCTTGAAGCCTCAGCCCTCCATCGTATTCTTCCACTGAACCGTATCTGAAGAAGAACCCGCCAATACTCCACATAGATGGATTCTTACCATCATACTCACCATTTCGCGAGGGCTCCTCCGCCACCACCGCCGCCGTCCTCCTCCTCCGCTGCAGATCCCTACCACTACCACCAGCAACCATCGTTGAGGTCACCAGTTCCTCCGCAGGGTCCATGGTTCCCCAACCAATTTCAATACCACCCTTCGCACTCTGCGTCGCCGACTCCTCCTCCTCCTCCTCCCTCGCAGTGGGGTCCGCCGGCGCCTCTTTCCGACCATGCTCCGCCTCCTCCCGGTGCTTATCCACCACCTCCTCATCCTTATACTTCACAACCTATGCACCACAACCCATTTCCGCCGCCTCGCCCTCTTATGTTTCAGCACCTTCCTCCTCATTCTCAGGTTCCACAGTCTTATTCACAGGTGATTCTGGGGAATTTCGTTATCTTTCAGTTAATTGTTTGCTAACTCTGAAATTTCTAACTTCCCTGACTGCTTTCTTGACCTATGGGAATTTAATGCCATAAACTGGTGGAGGATACGAGTAATTGTTTTGATGGCTCTTGAAGTGGGGGTGAATTCCTTTAGGGTTCTTTATCTATCTTCTAACACTTTCGTGGCTTGTGAGGCGCATCAATGTACTTTCTGTGGTTATACCTGACCATATAAGTCGTTTTTTTACAATCTATTGATCGTTGTAGGAATGGAACAATCCGAATCGGGCTCCGCACCAAGGCTGGGAATATCGAGGTTTGTTACTCCATATCTTAATTAATTTTTCATGCTAGATTCTACCTGGACTATTTTCGGTTTGCAAGGATTTACCGGTCATCTATCGAAGTGTAGATGCTATTCTTGATGTTTTTTCAATATGAAATGCTTATAGAAAAGAATCGCTTAATTTCGATGGTTTGCTTGGTTTATCTGTGTAGCATGAAGGATAGTCAAGGATCATAACTTATAAACACTGTCTCCACTTGCACTTTTCTGGTTGTGTTTCTGTGTTGTGAGTCTCATTCTTTTATGATTTTTTTATCATGTTGCAAGTTTTAGGACTTCTTTCTGTTCCTTTGAAATCTTAGTGTTCCTTCAGTTTACTGGCTTCTGTGCACTTCCTTCTAAATACTTCAGCCCAAGGCAATGAAGAAGATTGGGCCGCCAGAGCTAGGGCATGGGCAGACGCGAAGACTGCAATGGAGAGTCAGCAATCTCAGTTTGCACCTACAGGAAGACTTGAAGAACAGAACTATTATCACGATCAAAATTTGCAACCAATGAATTCAAATTATCCAGATATGTCTCATCAGCCTCTTCCTCCTACAACCTATGAACAGTTTCCAGCTTCAGCCACATCCGCCCACCCACCAGTAGCTCATCACTTGGAGTCCTCACCTGTTGTTGTTAGCAGCGAACAATCTTCTTATCTTTCAGATGGGCGTCCAACTTACTCTGTCGGTGATTTTAGTTATGGAGGCGACGTGAACTCTGCTTTACATCATCAAGGAAAGTTATCCTCAAGTCCATCGGTTCTTCAGCAGGAGGTACCTTCTAGTAATTATTCTGTTTCAGGTAATGATTCACTTGTGTAATAGTGTAGTTATTCCTGAAGAATTCTGCTTTCAAACTCATTTAGTAATGAAATTGAAATTGTTTTTATATTAGTATCATTAATGTTATCCTTCTCCCCTCACAACTCACATTCGTTCTAGGGAAAAGAAGAAACTCTTTGGTGGTGACTCTTGCTGAATAGAGATTCTTTTGGGTGCTTTTGATAATAATAGTTTTTCATTGATACTCTGTGGGCATCTAGCAATTACTTTTATCATAGTATTATTATTGTTGCTGTTTATGTTATTAATAAACAATTGCATACTGGCTTGTCAATGTAGTTTTTTGTATAATTGATTGGGTGGGGGAGATCTTTGGGTTGTGCTGCATTGCTCTGAGGCAGCCTCTCTTGTAGTTTAATCTGTTTTTCCTCTGAAGGCGACAAAGTTCCTGCTTGGGAATATAGGATGAAAGACCCCCCCCCCCCCCCCCCCC